ACTACTGAAGAAAGCCAAGAACGTTTGCTCTATAGGAATAAAGTGAGCTTGCTGATCAAGTTGCTCACAAAGCAAACACTGGTTGAAATTCAAAGAGGCAACATTTCCGTTCTGAGGGACGACACATAACAAAATCCCTGCAGAGTTAATAGGCACATAAAAGCATTTATGGCAATGGCATGTGTTGAGGATATGAAATATGCATCTGGTCCTGCCTTATTAAGGTTCTGTGGCACGAAACACTCTCTGTCAAAGGTCTGTGAGCAACAGCCATTTGCTAATATGAAGTGAATCAGAGTATCAATATTTATAAGAGAGGTGAGGCTGGATAGAGACACAAGAGTAGTAAAGAATTGTTTTTGACAGGAGAGAGTTATAGATGCCCTGATTAAGATAGAGTTCATAGACATGAGTTAGTGTTGTCTCTTGGGGGCTAAATGAGGAAAAAAGATAAATGGCATTGTCTCTTTTTTTCTGTCTTTCTACAAATAGTTCTTTCCTTGCCTGGATGAGCTTCTCCCATTTCTTGCTTGATTTAAAGCCAAAGGATTTGAAATGTGAGATTCATGTTGTCTTGTAGCATTTAATGAGGATTGCCAAACAGCATACGTGAGTGGAATAAAGTGTCAGCAATTTCTGCTTCCCACTCCTCAGCAGTGTCTTCTGCGCCACCTCCAGCTGCTCCAGGTTTTCCATTTTCTCCATTTGATATTTATTCCTTTTTCCCTTCTCACCATAAAGAAAAAACGGTTTGTTTGTTCTGTGGAAAATGCAGCGAACACTGTCTTTAAGATTTATTTCACTATGCCAAGTGACATTTTGAGGCATTAAAGAAGGCAGTGAATAGAAGCACAGGAAGTGAGGCCAACAGACGTTGTTGACCTGTCGTGTAAAATTATGTTTACTAAACTTGTGTTCTTGAGGACATACTGTAACGTGAAATCAAAGGATTAAAAAATATAGAGGCCACTCATCCTGTCGTGGAACATCTCCACTCGTTGTTTGTGGCCAAAAAAGGCACAAGCTGTGGACCAAAAATTCCAGCGGTTAAATTTGTACAATTTTAAAAAATGAATAATTTTTTTTATTTTTAAGATAACCTCTCGGGGTTGGAACGGATTGTTTGTGTGCCAGCTAAAATTAACAGACTAACTGTCTTCTGCTATAGCAACAATTACTTTTTACTTATCCACTCTACAAGTTACATCTGTCAGTTATTCTGTAGGATGGGGGGATTTACTGGTTTCCTCCTAGGTTGTATTCGCAAACAGCCGTAGCCACCCCAACAGATTTGTTGCTTCTGGATTGTTAAAAGTGTTGCAAGTGGGAGTTAATCAAATTCATGTGATCCAATACTTTGATGGTAAAAGTGTTGGGCCTTAACATAGCATTAAAGAAATGTTTGAATATACTTCAATTGATTACTTTAATGCACGCCTCATGAACTTTGTTCAAATGCAAGAACAATAATTTTCTAATTACCAGTTCGGTTCCTCAAGCTTTCACGGTATCTTGTCCGTATGGTTTGATTTTCCGAAAATCAAACTGAGATCAGTTAATGCAAAATGATCCGAAAGATTTTCTTCTACTCTACATTCGGCATTAAACTGAGAAATAATTAGAGCAAAATTGCATAGCTTGTCATTTATAGATGGCAGGGGTTGCACAACATGGGAGGATTGCTGCAATATCTAACTTAAGATTTGTTTCCACGAGACCGCAAAAATGTCATTGATCATAGCTTTAATAATAGTTAAAAAATATAAAAGCACATTTAAGCAATAAGGTACGAGAGGCTCTACTTTATAGTCAATAATGCACTGTTCAAGGGTGTTGTTGGCAAACCATATTGCTTTTGCTTGTCCGTGATATTATTTGTAAGTAAATAGCTAAAAGGTGCCCTAATGTTAAATCTATCGCGAAAGCTCGCATTTCCCAAAACTGCTCATGTGTTTCCAAGCTGTTTTTAGGCAATCGCCACCGAGCTAAAAACTGAAATGACAACGCTCGCGCCAAATCTGTTATTTTGATCACCCCACCGATATGGAATGCTCAGGTCAATGTACACAGGTAACAACTAAAAGACCAACAAATAGTAACACTTAAATTGTACTTGTAACGCCACTTATCTATAGCAAATTGTAAATTGGCTTATTTGAGGAAATTGCACTTTCTTGTTTCTTGCTCTTCTGAGTTTGTATCCCTAGGGTTGAATCCAGGACGCTGTGGCCAACGGGGAGGGTCAATAGAAAGTAAGAAAGAAGAATGCGTCCGTTAGTAAGCGAGGATTGCTATAGTTTTGGTCATCTCCCGCGGTAGACCGCTCATGCGTCACGTCACGCATGAGCGTGACGTGACGCATTCAGACGGGGTGAATTTTCCCCTTCAGACGGGGTGAATTTATGAATGAAAGTTAGAACGTTCTGTCACAACGATGTTGTTACGTATCATCCCGCTTTTCCTAGTGGGCATACGGCGTATACCTGCGTATCACGTAGACTACACCACTGGTTGCCCCTAACTTGCACCTGTCTGTCTCACTCTTGCGCGTTAGCCCGTAAAAAAAATGATACATTAGCCGCACCGTTGTCTAAGTGAGAGCGTGGGAAAAAAGTAGCGGCTTATAGTCCGGAATTTACGGTAAATTAAATACTGCGGCAATATTTAAATAAAACCTGAAATTATTTAAAACTAGTCCAACAGCTATTTCCATAAAAGAAAATAAACACAAACTGCACACCCATAAAGTGTATTCAAGTGTATTAAATATTCCTGCTGCAGAGTATGTCAGCAAAAAGAAAAATAGCAACCAGTCACACACATCATCATGAACAGAAAAATGATTAATAATGTCACGCTAAATGTGTGTAAACCTCATCGACCCGACCAGATCCATCATTACAAACATATGCTGTGCAGACAAGCATTTTGCACGACAAGAGAACGTAACTTTGAATTCTAGTCTAGATCACAGTTTCCAAAAATACTGCTATGTATGAACGCATTATAGCAAAATGTTGAAAATCATGCATTAGGAATCATATACAAAAGTAAGTAAGTTTGGGACAAGCTATAAACACAATAACAAATGACCATTTGAAATAAAATCTAAAATATTTTTATAAATGTACTTGTTTCTTTACACATGCAGCAGTTACGGATCGATCAGCGATCAGCATTCCTCTAGAGTTGTGAATCTGGCCACCTGGCTTACCTGCAAACCTCCCTCTCGTTTTATCTGTGTTGGTACAGTAGGCCTTTCCGCTAGGCATGAAATAATTCTCTATTAATTCACTCCACTGTCTCTGTATCCGTTTCAATCCATCAGACTTCTCTCCTTTACAAATCTTAAAATCTCTGCATCTGTCCATCTTATTTCTGCTTGTTTGCGCTCGCATTTTCATTGTGCCATTTTTTCTTTCTCATTTACATTCTTTCTCTCTTAGTGCAACAGAGCAAATTGCACTCCCTTGCTTTTCAATATCCGCTCCTCATCTGCGTGCATTGAAGCATTCAAAGCTTTGGTTGGCTCATGGGACGATCGGCACTCACCCCATCATGTTCCTGGGCCGTTTCATTAGTGGACAGCTGCCCTGTCTGTTATGCTGTAAGAGGGAGCTGTGTGTGTCTGGCTGTGTAAATTAGTGTGATGGGTATTAAAAAGGTAGATAAATTAGTCGATAGATGGATAGACACAAAGATAGGGAGTTCCGCACATATACCAAATACTTTCTATCTGATCCCTCACATTGAAGAATAAATACTATCATACAATGCTTTTTTTCTAAAGAACAGGCATTTGTTCCCTGGGTGAACCTCTGTAAAGGCCTATGCGCCCCTCTTCTCTTCCACGCTGACTGTGCCGAGTGATTGCACAAGTCATCCAAACTGATCGAATCAGATGGGCACAAAACCTCCTACAGTACTTGCATCCACACGTGTTGATAATCAGTTGTGATGTTCTATCATAGTTGATAGTTCGACTATTGTGGCATGTAACGGTGAATCGGATAAGGAACTGGACTTTGCGTCCAGATCCCGACGGCGTCTTCTCTCCGTTATCAAATCAGCCAATAGCGCCATTCGCTGTACTCATGTACTATTAACATCATGCAAAAATAGTATGTTGTTGTTGGTAGTGGTGAAGCGGTCAAGCAGAAATGGCTGTATCACAACTAGTTGTAATGAAAACAGCGCCACCTATCGTATCGGATATGACATGCTTTCGGCCAATGATTCGATTTATTCACTGCCATGTATATTGGGATAATAGCACTTGCTCCGAAAGATAGCATAGTCCGACTAAGCAAAGATTCGAATTATACCATCATGTAAACACACTGACAGACACTGCTTTTCACCCAGCTTTTATGTCGGTTGCTGTTCAGAGGCAATACACTGTTACAGGTTCCCAAACTGATAACAATGATTGTTTTGGGATTACTTGTACCATTGCTTGTTAAATCACAAAGCTGAGCTCAGTGGTCAAAGATTAGCCATCGCCGATGGATAATGCATCGTTCATCTGCCACCTGATCCTTTTGATTTTTGAAGTCAGAATGTCAAAAAAAAAGTGATTGATATTTGAGGCAGGGCAAAACAGTTGTTGACATTTTCAATGATGAAATTGGATAATGGAAAAAGATGATATTTTGTTGCGCAGAATTGCATTGTACATCTTTCACTGCAACAATAACACACGAAAAGCGTTTATGGCCTTTGGGCAGGATCGGCTATTGATGAACGAACACACACATGTCAGAATACATTGCAAAAGGCCAATGGAATTGGGCAATACCCCAAATCTTAACATGTTCATTACAGATAATTAAACTTCATTTAACAGGCAGTTTATTTTGTCTTTAGCTGTGCACTTGCACTTATTTGCCCCTCTAAGCATTGCCCCTCATGCTAAATCTACTTAATGTGAGAAGACTGTTTAACCAGGTGTCTCTGACAGATGTTTGCCTTCTAACGGGAGACTATTAAGGCTTACTTACTCGACAATTGCTCAACTCTTCTGCGGATAGGACGACTGTGCCGCATTTCTTCCCATGGATTCCTCTGTGGAGTAGAGAACACACACCTTTTACTTGTTAATTCTTAAGCAATCATGGAAGGTCACAGCAAGGAGAAAAAGCATTTTATTTTCTCAAACGTTTGCTGTTTGTGATTAAACCAAGCAAGTTTGATGTAGCTCACCTTTGACACTCGTAGAAAATATTTAAAATTCAACTAAAATGTTTAATATTGCTAAAGAGGGCCATGTGATGACCTCACAGTAATTTATCTAATGAGCTTGTTATACCGGAGCTCCAAATCTACAAAGGAAACTTATTCCCTAAAAATAATATCGCTGCTATACTTGGGTGATTGACCAAATAAAAACAGAATTTACTACTATACATCCTGAAATACCTGCAAACAAATACTTTCATGTATCTTATCTTCATTTCATCCTGCGACTGCTACTTTATGTGTTATGGTTGGCTCATTGGAATGTGACAACATACATTTCACGTTATTCTCAATAACACACTTTTTTTAGAAAAGAAATATGCTCTCACTTAATACCTATTGGAAAACCCCCAAATAATCCACCTCTTCAATCCACTCAAAATGTATCACCTTTCCCTCATCTGGCTGACGTCTGTGTGTCACACATCTCCAAGAGCACTAAATGTCTCCCCAGGAGGACTGGGACGTTTACTGCGATCATTTGGTTACTTGCCAATTATTAATCAGATTTGTGTCACAGTCACTACTTATTAGTTTGAAAGGCTACCGAGTAGGGAGGCATTTCGGATTGGCTTAATTTCAGTCCAAGGTTGCTACAGTCCAAATGCACAAAGCAAAAAAAAAAACGCATGTGCTTTCAATACATTTTGTATACGATGTAATGTAGAAAGTTATGGACACATTTTCAGTCAACACATTACAATATGTGTTGTTGCAAACTATTAACTATTTATGGTTTGTTTAGGCAAATTAAAAGCAATTATAGGCTAAGTATTGGTTAAGTATTACAAATAGAAATACTGTACTGAAACATTAACCTAAATCCATACACCTTAAAAATACTATTTAGGACCATAATTCCTTTGCAAACCGAATCAAATTAAAATGATGTGGAAATGCAGAAGGAATCATGGAATAAGATCAGATTTGTACGTTGTTATTTTTTGCAACATTTAAAAAAAAAAAAAAACTTGATTTATAATGCTTGCAGTTACAGAGAATAGACTTCCTAAGGGTGCCACAGAATATACTGCTCCATCATACTGGAAAGCTGAAGAAATAGCCTGGCAGTACTTTTTTATTCTTTGAACTACACATATACAAATTAGAAATCTCCTTCAGTTTTAACTGAAACTCCCTCCCTCTGACGGCAGCCCAGCCAATCACACAGCGCACTTTCATTTCCTCATTCATTAAAGTACTCCGTATCAAGCGTATTTTAGCGCAGTTTCCACATACGAACAAAATAAGATCTGTTACGTTAAGTGTCCTTTTCTGGACGATCCTGTTGATGAAGAAGCGGTATTACTTCGCAGGGTGGTAAACACATTTAGAGACGAAAAGTGTACGTCGCTCTGAAACGTCTTTTAAACTTTTTTGTTCCCTGGACACAAACCAGTGAGAGCCATTAAAGAGGAGTTCCACAGGATGCACCTGAATTAAACACATTATAGGTTCAATACTATTGTACCAGTTTTTACCAGCGATAGTTCTTGTAAATATGAGCATGGGTGTGTATTTCAAGCCTGTATGTAGTGCATTCTAACAGAGTGAAAAAAATGTAATTTTCCCACTCGGAATTAGTAAATGTATGGATTATGATTAGTGTGTAAATTAAATATTAATTGACAACACTATGTTGGAACCTTTGCGTGGACCTGAGCAGCAATTTTCTCGTACGCCGTTTCTCTGTCTTTTCTTTCTAATTACGGGTTCATACTCGTAATTACGCTTGCATTAATATTTGCAGCTCAATGGGGTAAAGTACCCCGACAGATTGTTTGTAGTTGTTGCCATGGTAACTCCCAGTATCATGGCTCGATTCATGCTGCCTTCATACCGTGGTGGTGCGCACGCTCAACTTTGAGTCAATCTACTCAGAGAGTTACGCCTACTCTCAGAGTTTCCCATCTCAGGGTAAAGCAACTCTAAGCAAGTAAAGCAAAAGTTTAGGGTTTGACTCAGAGTTTGGTAAACCTCTTACTTGAAACTGACCCCTGGTTTCAAACAGTGTTTGTTCTACCTTCTGAATGGTGGTTCAACGAAAATCAAACTCAATCATACCTTAAAGTGTCACGAACAGGTAGGCAGAGGGAGGACTTCAAAATTCAAAAGGGCAAAACGCAGATGCAAACGCAGATGCAGACGCAGACCGGGACCAGGCAATACATTCATGAAGACCTTCAGACATTCAATGACGCAACAAAGGACAAAAGATACACATGGCTTAATACACTGGGAAGGTGCAGGTGATTGGACACAGGTGGAAACAGAGACACTTTGAGAGACATTACTTTTGCCTCCCACATGCAAGTTCAAGCTGTACAGCCACAGCACAGAGGACCAGCAGCTACACTAGTATTAGTTGTTAATAATGTTGTGTAAGGATAAGTTAAAGGTTTAAGGAAATGCCCTGATTGTCTATCGGAAATAATCCACCAAGAGAAGACACAGATACCAGTTTATAAATGTCTTCAGTGTGATGAATGTGTGAAAATACTGAAAATGTAGAACAATAAACAGTCAGTTAGGTTGTGATGACCTGACACATTCAAGAATTGTTTTCCCCAGTCGGTGAAATGCAGCGAGCCAGTAGAAATGTAGTGCTTTGCTTCACCCGCCACCCATCAAAATAGCATTTATGCTATCGCCGCTAATTTCATAGAAACCAAAGTACTGTATTAACCTACTAAAGTAGTGTTGTCTGGTGAAAGGAGATACTGAGGATTACCAGTCTTCAAGTAGGATTTATCGGAAAACCCCTTTTTCAGTGGGGGAAGCCAAACATGTCCCCGTGACAAAGGAACATCACTGGTAAAGAAGATACTGTGAAATTAAACGTTTCAATAATCACTCCTCTGCCGCTGTTTTATTCAGGAGACAAACTGAAAAAACTTTGATCGATTCTGGAAGGAGGCATGTACCGGCTCTGTAACCTTTAAAACTGAACACAAGCACAACCATCTAAACATCAACGCTGTGCAGTGAAGCGAGGCCTCTCTAACACAATTACTGACTTCACTAACTCTGCCAAAGGGAAAAGTGAAACACTATTTCAAGGACAGAGAACAGACACACACACACCTGAGACATCCACCTCCTCAATTACCCACTGCTGATTCTACAAAGCCTCAGTCATTCGAGACCTCATTTGACTTTATTACAGCAGCCACCAGAGAGACTATGCCATTAATCAAATAGAATAGGGAAGGAGTGAGCAGCCACCCAGGAGAGCAAAGAAATGAACTGATGTGGCTGCTACAATTTCTCTGTTTCACTTCTGCATTAGAGAATGACCCAGCATCCATCGTGGCTCAAATGAGGCACACACTGCAAGGCTGCCCTGCATTGCTCTTCGAGGTAAAGAAGCTGCGGTTCATACCGATACTGCTTTATTCATACCTGGAATAAACATTGTTAGAGACATGGGATGTGTGTCATTGTATTTCATTCTCATTGGTTTATATTGCAATTCCGTATTAAGCCTTTTTAACTGCCAGAGCAGAAGTTGTGAAGCAGCCTGAAACGCACATTATTAAGATCTGGAAATGTGATTTCAAAACAAGCCAGTTTAGGAAAAGTGCACAGAAATATATGTCAATACATGCAAAGAGAAACAAAAGAAACTGTCACGACAAATTTGATTACATGGGATTTCTAAATTCTGCTGTGTTTGTTGTCACAAACAAAAAGAGAGTGAAATGGGGAAAACCCCTTTTCCTTTCTTTTTGTTGGTGACCTCAATTAGCTTCATAACAATGGCAGCTAATCTCACCAATACTTTGTTTGCCTTTGATGCTGCTAAATCATTTAATTCGTTAATTAATGCTAAAATAGCAGTTCCAAATGTTTAAACAGGCTGAGCTCAGTGCAGGAGCGGTGTGTTTGTGGATGACTGTGGGACTTAAGTTCTCTATAACCTAATGAAACTGTTAGTTTTCAACGGTGCTCCTGAATTGGTTAATTCAGTGCAGGAAACCGTCAAGTTGATTGGGCGCTGTAACTCAATCCAAAATGACAGAAAAAACGTTATCCAAACAGATGGCTCATGCTCGAAGGAAAAGAGTGTACAATTGATGCAAGGGTACCAAAACTGGATGAGCTGTCATTTCGACAACAAACACACTTTTCTCTCCACACTGTAACATTACATTACTAATATTTAGCTGACACTTTTATCCAAAGTGACTTACAATAAGTGCATTCAACCATAGGGGTACAAACTCAGAAGAACAAGAAACAAGAAAGTGCAATTTCATCAAATAAGCCAACTTACAACTTGCTATAGATGAGTGGCGTTACAAGTACAATTTAAGTGCTACAATTTCTAAGTCTTTTAGTCGAGGTAGAGTCTGAAGAGGTGTGTCTTTAGTTTGCTGCGGAAGATGTGAAGGCTCTCTGCGGTCCTGGTGTCTTCAGAGAGCTTGTTTCTCTGTACCATTTCGGAGCAAGGACAGCAAAGAGTCGTGATCTAGTCAAGTGTTTTGCTCTCAGTGAGGGAGGGACGAGCAGTTTTGCAGATGCAGAGCGGAGTGTGCGGGTCGGGATGTAGGGTTTGACCATGTCCTGGATGTAAGCTGGACCCGATCCATCCACAACATGGTACGTGAGCACCAATGTTTTGAACTGGATGCGGGCAACCACCGGTAACCAATCGGTAGAAGGAGAGAATTAGTAGGGTGTCATCGGCATAGCTGTGGTAAGAGAAGCCATGCGAGCGAATGACAGCGCCAAGAGAGTTGGTGTAGAGAGAGAAGAGGAGGGGACCCAGGACGGAACCCTGAAGAACTCCAGTAGTAAGAGGACAAGGTTTCAACACAGATCCT